TCGAGACGAGCGTTCTTCTCGTATCTTGTAAATATGCAGATGAATATCAGTTTCATTGTATGAACAAGGATAAGTTCACAATCCTCACTATGCGTCGTCAAGATTGTCGAAAATAAATGGAAGAAACTTCGTCTAGGTAAGATGCCAGAGAACGAAACACCACGTTCTAAGGAATGTTTCATTTGGTCTATCTATCATGTATGGATATCGTTCAAAAAATAATATTTAATTAATTTAGACTTGAGCCTCCAAAAAAGACAAAAGAATTAACAAGCACTATCTAGTACACAGGTCATATTGGCATTTCGCGAGTATCCAGGATCACAACCACATCCCGATGTACAAGTTTTGCCGCATCTCTGAAATATCGATAATATGCATTGAGTACTAGACATGAACACTTACAGTATCATTTTTGTTGCATTTGCCTTCGCATTCAATACATGGAATCCAGCTCTCATTCATACCGCATCCGGCTGCTGAAAACAGTATGTTGAGCGAATTTCATCAATTCAGAACATTTTTACATTTGTAACAGAGACGTTGATGAACACAGTTTCCATTTTCATTTCTTTTGTAGTATTTACGACAGACACATCCTGCTATGATGGTGGAATTGTTTTGACTCTTGCACTTGAAACATGTTTGATACTTAGAACTCTTGTGTAGTTTCTTACCAAATCGTTTCCATGACAAGTTGTTTCACAAGCATTCTTCTTATCTGAGTATACTTCGTTGTTTGAACAATTGGCGTCTGAAAGCATATTGGAGTAAGTTTACATGCTTCATGTTAGTAGACGGACTTCCTGTGATTCCGGAAGAGAAATTGGGACAAACTGCATAAGGAACACATCTTCTTCCTTTTCTCACAAAACCACCAGCACAGACACAAGCTCCAGTTGTAGAATTAGGGCAGACCTTAACTACTGCTTCTGTAACCTTTCCTTACAAGAATCTAACTTTCAATGGCTCCGCACAAGTTGCTTCACATCCTGCTGTCATATTGTACAATTCATTTTTTCCACAAATTGGGTCAACACCTGTGCCATCTTAAAGAAGTTATTGATATAGCTATTAGGAAAGATGAAACTACTAGTTGAAACGCATCCAACAGTTCCATTCAAAGTCATTTTACATTCGAAGCCAGTCATACATGAGATAGAAGCACATTCCGAAGGAACTGTTATGAAACATAGAGCTCAGATTCAGATAATGAGATTGGTATACTTGTGTTATTGCTTCTCACACAAGTTGGCTGCCTTCCAACTATTGTGCAGACGAATCCTGTACGACAATCGATCAAGTTACATGGTGATTCAGTACTAGTGGAAGCTGCAATACTGCTGGTTTATCTTCTCCATGATACTTAGAAAACTTCGAACTCTGTTCTGACAACTCTCATACATAAGCTAACTGTAGAAAACAACTTTCGACTCTCTACATCTCCTTTATTGAAAAAACTCACGCATGCATCTTGGCCCTCCATTGATTATTTGACAAACGGAGCCACCAGCGCATTTCACTGTAGCACAAGTCAAAGATGAAGTTGTCGTAATGACTGTTGAGTTGGAAGTTGAGTTTGAAGCTGAAAAATTTTCTATTCAAACATATATCTCGAACACTGTGTTGAAAGAGCGTTGCTGCCAGCCTCTCATTCCGATAGGAGACCCCTCGATTCTCTACTCAAAGCAATCTCCAAATTTTAAGGATGATTAAAGGAAAACTAACGCATGCATCTTGGTCCTCCATTCACTATCGTGCAAACCGAGCCACCAGCACATTTGACTGTGGCACAAGTTAGAGATGAAGTTGTAGTAGTGAGTGTAGAGTTAGTAGTTGAGTTTGAAGCTACAAAATTTTAAATTTAGGATGTTACTGAGTTACTCCGTTTGAGCTGGAACATTGATTGGTCAAAAAACCTATTGACTGAGCAGCAGTCACATTTGGAAGCAAGCTCTATTGAAATTAACGAAAACTCACGCAAGCATCTTGGTCCTCCATTCACTATGGTGCAAGTTGAACCACCAGCGCATTTAACTGTAGCGCAAGTCAAAGAGGGAGTGGTCGTGATAAGAGTTGAGTTGGAAGTTGAGTTGGAAGTTGAGTTGGAAGTTGAGTTTGAAGCTACAGGGTTCCATATTGTTTAGATTGCTTTATAAAAACATACGTCTGCAGAAAGGTATGCCATTCACAATCCCACACTCGAAACCAGTGACACAGCTCACAGAGGCACAAGTCAGAGCAGGCGAGGCTGCTGGAATTGTCACCCTCACCATCTCTAAACCATTCTTTTGCATTTATAACTTTGAAATTAAATTTGAATTGCATATAACACATGACGGAGCATAATAAGTTTCAAGTCTAAGCAAACCTTGGCAAGCGGTTTGCCCATTCACCACTTCACATGCGAAACCAGTCGGGCATGTTGTTGCTGTACATGATGCACTTGAGTTAGTGGTTGAGGTTGAGTTTGTATCTATAAGGAGTTGGCACATGATTTGTTGAGTTTGTTCGTTGTTTTACTAGGGCAATCTCTTGGGAGAACACAATTGGAATTATATGTGAGAAGGTACCCTGTACTACATGAGCATGATGGAGGGCCACATGATTGTATGCAAGCCTAGAACAGAACAGTAGTGGTAGATGAAGGACGTTTGAGTTTCACTACCATCATCCCATTATTATCACATGTAGCTGGACAATGAGAAGAGCATTGAACGAAAGTCTGATTGACTGGACAGACTTCTGAGAAGCCCGTGGCATTTGAGTCTAATAGAAAACAAATAAAAAATATTTTTGATTTCAACAAAAGATAAATGAAAACCAAACAAAAGATAATCCATGTGATCTTCTTATATCTATCAATCAACTTCCTGTATACAGGATGATGATTCAATCATTGTTTTTGTTTTTTTGAACTTTCGTAGTACGTAGTTCGCGACCTACTCTCAGAAGAGTACTTGGATTTGTGTTTTTGTTGAAGTTCAAATGTCATGATTTGTGTGAACTGATAAACTTAAGGATAGGACTTTACAATGTCAGAACCGGTTGAATTGCCAAGATTCGTTTTCAATTTTTTTTTGTTTGATAGCTTTGTGAGTGGATAGATATGTTCTCTCTCATTGCATGATGTCATCGTTTACGTTTTCCTTTTTGAAAAGAAAGAAACAGAGAATGAAATAATTATTGTATGTGACATAAGAAGTTATGAACAGAGAATGTGCAGAAAGGAAAGAGGCATGAAGCTAATGTTTCTAACCACGAGGAATGCATCGAGCTGATCCATTGATAGCCTTGCATTCCGTATTGAATCCGCAGCGAACTACATAGCAAGGAGATTGATCGGCGTCGTATTCTTGAGTTGAGAAAAAAACAGAGAATGGTGGCGTTTATAAAATGGTATTACTTGTTGGAACACATTCAGCAACTGGATAGCAAGGAGCCATGATGCATTGAACTTGCTGTTCCACACATTTCTCTCCTATCTTGCATGTATGGTTTTTACAAGGATGTTCAAGAGCACTGGTATCGTTTTGGGGTACTGAATATGTTACATTAGTCATTGATTTGGGAATTAAATTTAGTTGTATATGGTATTGAAGGTGAAAGGCGGATAGAGGTAGAGGGATAAAGGAACGAAAAACGAGAGGAAGAGAGAGGTCTAACCATTTGGAACACACACAGGTTGATTAGATTGAACAACACATTGACTTCCGATTAGACAAGATACAGCAGCACATAGTGAACTATCTTCTTCTAAACAAGGAAGCACACACTGGTGAGAACTTATAAATCTGAACTAAATCAAACCAATTTTGTGACAAAATGGAATAGGATTGCAAGGTGCTCGAACGCAAACAACTTGCTCAAGTCGGCAAACTTCGTCTTTCTTGCAAATTGTCGTTGCGCAGCTTGGAGCTAAACGAAGTGCGTTTGATAATAATACTGATAGTTTATTATTATGCCATACAAACGATACATTTAAACACAAAAAAAGTGAAATGCGACAGTGGTTGTCTCATTGACTTCTGTACGGACGAGTGTTACCTGCTGAGCATTGGCTTTGAGGGACGCATTTGCCACTAGAGTGACGGACAAGGCCAGACTTGCAACGGCAAGCTCCTGGGCCACAAAGAGTAATGCAAGCCTGTGTTCGGTTTCACTACTGATTTAGTCGTGTCTTTTCAACTCACCACATTGGGGTTTTCACAGGTTCCGTCGCAACCTCCGCATTCATTGTACTGCTCACCGGCAGGACATGAATTGTAACTTGGACGTGTAGTGCGTGCTATAAGTGACTATGCAGAGAACGAAAAAGTATAAACACAAATGGTTAACACATAAAAGTTAGTTAAAGAAGGGAAATGTGATTATTCGTCGATACAAACGGTTTCGGTAGGGCATACGCCGTTCTCGCATGGCAAATCAACAACTTGACAACCCAAAGGACAATCCAATGAATTGCACTCTAAACCCAAAACTGAGGTTTTTTCGTTTCTTTGAAATATGCATGCGTGTAAGAAGGGTCTGTGGATCAGGGAGAGGGGATTTTGTGCATTTTGTTAAGAAAAGTTGTAAAACCTACGGCAAGCTGAAACAGGAACACAGCTTCCACTTTGGTTTCTAACGAATCCAGATTGGCATTGACAAACGTCAACGATGCATTGCTTAGTACAGAAAGCCTGTTGGTATGAATTTCATGAATAAGTAATTATCAGAAACGTACAGGGCTTGGGTTGGTGCAAGATGGCTCACAAGCTGTTCCACAGTTTGTGAATTTTTCGTTTGCTGGACATTGCTTTGTAGCTTGAGCTTGAATGGCCAAAACCAAGAGAGCGCCGACGATAAGCTGTAACATCTTTCAGTGATAGAAAACTATAGAAGAACTTACAGATTGGAACATGCTCATGTTTGAAGATGACAATCTGAAACAACTTCTTTATATAGAAGGTGAGAAGAATAAGAAGAAATGAGAACAAAACGCTTGTTGACCGAAAAACACTTGGCCGAACAATACCGAATGACATCATATTTTATATGAAAAGTCATTTCAGACGGAAATTAATGAAAAAAAAGAGAGATGAAAGAACGAAAGATTGGAAGAGCGTACGGTTATGAATCATGTAATTGTTCTATCTAGTTGCATCCATTTTCATCTTTATTATGAAAGTATTCGTATGATCAGAGGATCATCTCGTGTTTATTTCTGTAAACTCAATGAACTCTGCTATCGCATTAGATAGACAATGAGAGAGAGAGGGAGATAGATGAAGAGACAATAGAAAGGGAGATGAGAAAGAGTTGTTGGAATAACTAAATGGATTTCACTCAGACAGGATATCGCATAATCGCGTCATGGCTGTATGGGTAGACATCCAAACGTTTATGAGAGTAGAGGTTAATCAGAGTGAGAAATAATATTTTTCGAGGAAAATATATATTCTCCTTCTGCTCTCATATGATTAAACAGTTTATTTCAGAGAGAATCTGTGACTAATGAGGAATGAATGTGCGAGGTTGACTAAGCTGGCTTTTAAAGGGAAATGGAAGGGGTGGAGATTGTAATGAAAAGGGCGGATTATCAAGAAAGAAGGAAAGTTCAAGAATAGATCATATGGGATGTTTGTATAAGCGAATGAATGAGTGGAAAAAACATTGTTAACGAGCTATATACTCTTCACGTGCTTTTTCAAAAAAGACCTCGTTGACACTGCCAATGCACACAGACAGCTACATGTTGGAAAGAGAGATGACGAAACTCTTTTATACAAGCATATTGTGATAATTGAATGCAAAATAAAGCATTTTCACATGTTTTTAACAACAAGATCGTCTAAAAAACTTGTTCAAAACCATTTTTTATATTTGGATATCACTCTTTAATAAACAATATTTGTATTTCATTTTTGAAAAATATCATTCTGGACCCCCTCCCCCATCCCGACCGTACACACGACCCCCAACATGGTCGATGTGATTGTATCAAGAAAGATCATTCCATCATCTTTTGCTCTACGTCTTCTCTGTTGTTCGGCATGCAAGCATACAGCATACACACAAACACGGTAAATGTAAAGAAATTGTTATTTCGTCTTTGAAACTGTTATTCACTTGTGATAACTTCCAAATCGGGGAAATGTTATGAAAAAGGATATTTGAATCATCGCTTGTTCATTTTCAACTTTTTGAAATCAAACACCGCCAGCAAACACAAAGATCATTCACAAATTATACAAATAATATTTTAATTTTGTTTTATTTACAAAATGACAGTTTTCACTTCTGGCTCTAGAGGTCGACGTCAGTATCTGTAGAATACACGTGTGGTTCCCATGCTGTACGTGAGAACAACAGATCACAACTTCAAAACAGGAAGGGTGAAATGAAATAAGTGCAATCTGTACGTAACTAGCTATATGTATTATCTATTACACTCATTAACGAGTCCACATGAGCTTACAATGATCAAAAAATATTGTTCAGAAGTAGGTTTTTGTTAGAAGAACAGGTCTCTGTTGTTAAAGTTGAGCAATTGACACACCCACTTTGATAAGAAAGTTATCCAAGTCCAAATGAGGATGGCTAGATAACAGAATATTCGAAACTGAAAAAACAAAGTAAACAAGACAGGATGTATGGTAAATGGGTATGAGAGAGAGAGGTAGAGAAGGTGAGTGAGAGAGAGTTATGAGCATTTCTAGTCAGAAACAGTCGTTAACATATGTTCAATCATTAATTTCCGATTAAAATAAGTTTTAAAAAGGAAAAGGATTCACATTATACACCTAGCACGTGTTCCGATAAGGATTTTATGGATGAAATCGAAGAAATTCATCTGATAACATGATAGCTTATAAGTTCGTCTCGTTCCCACAACAGATATCATTCTCAAAAATGAAATTATTATTATTATTTCTATTTGTATATTCATGTAGAGCTTGTGATGTAAAGTTTCCTAATAACACGGAGACAACCTTCCATTGGTGGCAATGTAATTCTGGGCCAATCCAATTCTTTAATGCTACACCATATGATTCAACGGGTATAACTAATGATAGTCTCTATCTTATAATCATAATTATCATTATAGGAAAAAATTATGAATATCCCATTCATTTGGGCAAACCTATAGTTGTCAAGACCGATATGTTTGCACCACACGAATATAATACTCCCAGCTTGAGGAAGACTGTAACTCTCTGGTCTTGGGGAGGAACAAACGGCTGCGCATGGAGTACCTTGCCTACTTTCGGATTACTGTTAGATGATCCAACTTATTCATCCTCCATGATTATGTTTCAGAAAAAACATTGATGCCTGCCAAGATGGTATTCCATGCCCTGTTAAGCCAGGTCGTCAAAATTTGAATGTTGTCATAGACTTTACGAAATATGAGACAATCATAAACATGTTGAAAGGTGAAACATAATTTCATTAGTTTATTATTCCTCGTTCAGATAATGCTCCATATCAACTTGAATACTTCTTACACGACGACAAGACGAAAGACGAAGGTTGTGTATTGGTTCAAGCTCGTGCCAGAATTCCATAAGCATCTATCAAGAACTTGTTTTATTTATTCAAACTTTCTCATCCTAATAAAGCAGTATCTCATCTTATACGAATGGATGAGCTAGTTCCTCTTGCGGGCTAATCCTCACAAATTAGAATAAAACCTATGTCTGTTCTCTGATCAACCGTCGGCTGTCGCAATAAAAGAGGAAATGATAAGATACAGCTGAACTGTTCACGTGGATTGTACACGCAAAAGAATCATTTTTTAAATTCCTCTTGGATACTTCATTCTATTCACCAAAGCTCAGATTTACCTTCTTCATGTAAGCTTTGATTCTGTTGTAACAGGCTGACTACCATGTGAGCGTTCTCCTCTTTGATGATTGAACGCCAGTCATACTTTCAAGTCTGTTTTATTGGAGCACGGCTAATCAACGCATGAGGCAGTTGCACAACCTACCCCAACAAGAATCTCCTCAAGGCTACAATTATTGAATTTTTGCATTATCAAGGTAATTGCTATATATTCCACATTGCGAAGAAAGGAAAATGAATATTATCTTATCATATTCTGTTCCAAGGCTCCAAGAAAAATCTTGAATACCATTTGGAATGCTGTAACTTTAAAATCGCCTCTGGGATAGAAGGCATCCAAATGAATTGACGGATGTCATGTGTTATCTCCAACCCACGTTGAGTCAACAATTTGTGCCAAAGTACGCATGCTTCACTGATTGAAAAGATAAAAAAAAGTAAATAAAGTGTAAGGAATAGTATATTTTCTCTGGCCCTTGGGTCTTCCTGTATCCAGTGTGTGGCTCACAAAGCCTAAAGTACGCCTGGGTGGTAGAGGTGTCAACGCTCTCTTGTCGGCTTTGTCTCAGGACCCAGAGCAATCTTGATCTGATCTCTCCAATCCAACATACTTCTTATGAAAGTCAAAATCTCCTTTTTTTACACGCCTCTCCTTCCTTCTCTACATGGATGAGCGCTGCTCTAGTACTGTCCACTACTCAACATAAACCAATGACTTTCTTTACTACTGATTATAAAGCGCTATCTCAACCTGAAACAACCTCTTGCCAATAACCGGAAATAGATTCACATCTTATTAGATATAACCGTGTTCATATTAGAATTCTTATATAATATATAATCACACAAAGCAACAGTTTCTTTTCAACTCAACAACTCCTTCGTACGACCAAGAATCTGAACAAGAGTTCCGTGACTGAAGTGATGGAAATCTTGCTTTCGAAGTAATTTGGTTAATTGCGACTTGTGCATCTGACGAATCAACTGCTCCTTGATGAATATGATGATTTGTAAACGTTTTGTTTTACACTGAAGTACCTGAAGCCTCACCAATTGGTGTTTCTCAGCTAATTGGAATTTCTCCATGAATGGGAATATCAAGTCCGCCATTAGGAACTCTTCACATTTCTTAACAACAGTCCTCATAGAAAACTTATCGGCTACTTCAAGCAGTTTGTGAATATTGCCATCTGTAACTATGAGAGAATGAGTAGAAAAAATATTTTCAAACATTTAATTGGATTCAAGCAAGTTTGATCCGGATAAATGACTTGCAGCATTTCGATGAAATCCTTCTCGTCGACGTCTCTCAAGCAAATCTCAAATTGTTTCGATTCAATGAATTCAGAATAAAACATTGCTTTGAAATAATCCGAATGTAAGGCTAAAAACTGAAACCATTCAGCTCAGACTTTGTTTTCATGGATGATGAGAGGTATCACCTGTCTGTGAGCATACACTTTCTGTGAATTTATAAGGAAGGCCACGTCAGATAAGTGTAAATTAGATCCGAAATAGCAAAGCCCATTTCTAGAAGTAATGAGAATGAGTGACAGGATTGAGAATGATAGATAAACATATCGTTCTCGTCCATCAAATTCACGAATGACAGAGTTATGAAAACTTCGAATTTTCCTTTCTTGCTACAAAACTCATCATTTTCGGCAATTTTCTTCCAACGAGTGCTCAAGACACAGGAAGATGCACGTGTCTTATTGAACTCGAGCACTTTGCGACCACCATCATAATGGGAATCAACTGCATAACATACAAATAGAAACGAACGCAACAGAGACTGACCTTTCGATTTAATTTTAATGAAGTAGTTGACTTTCAATGAATGATTCCGAATATTTTTGCATTTCAGATATCCAACCAGTACTTCCATGCTATACGGAGAACACTTTCTCAACTCGAAACTCCTTAATTCATGAAACTGTTAAACTTACCGCAGATTTTTTAATTTCAAACCAAGTAATATCAAGAAGTTTTATTAATCTGTAAGTAATTGGTTTCAACTTCAGCTCTGTTGAATCAACTTCGAGTCTTATCTGTTGCTCAATCATGCTCTGTAAAGGAGAGTGAAAAAATGAAATAAAAAGAAAATCAGAAAGATGAACGAGAAACGTTCAATACCAACGATATGTAGATTGCCCGAAATGCAGATCACTCAATCAGGTTTTCATAATTGATTCGCTCTTTTATTATCATATTTCCTTCTTTAATTAATTATTTCAAGAAATACTCTTTCTCTCGGAAAAAAACTATTTCTTACTTTCACTCCAGTTATTTCAAATATCGAATCGAACTCTTACTTACCTGAAGTCACACGCCAATCACGTGATCTACGTGAACCCACGTGGGTTATACACTAAACTTAATCGTATTTAGATAGCAGAACGCATAGAGACCGGTCGTTTTCTTTCTTATCTGTACCATTTCTCCAGAAAAACAACTGAGCTGATTCCTATTTCTACTCCTATCGTCTACCAATGTAAGTTCATCTCTTTCTATCTTATCCGTACTCTTATTTATATTATCCATATTTATGCATGTCTATTTGATCCAACATACTTAACCTGTAACCTCGACTCAATGCTATACGTTGGGGACGCATTCATAAAAACAGTTTCGCGCGTCTCTCATTGGAGCGCGTTTCAATCCAGCTTACCCTTATGTGCTATGCTAATTGCCGAATATGTCTTTTAAATTTTGAATATCTATATTGAAATTACTTATTTTCACAATCTTAGTTTACTTTAATTATTACATCGAATCCTAATCTTTAAGGCGGTTCAATTCTTAAAAGAAGCAGAAACAATGAAGCGCATGCTTGGGCAGTCAAGCCTTACCTTCTCTTCAGGAGTGTCTAACGAAAAACAAGTACATTCTTTCTTAATAGTAATGATTTGAACTGAAAATCGTCTTAGGTTCTCCCCATATACAAGCGGGAACGATTTGAACTTGATAATTCGGAGGTAATGCTTATTTTCATTCTTCTAACTATTTTATATCCTCAGGCTGATACATACAATTTACCAAACTCTCCAGCTTGTGCCGGATTGAATGAAACTCCTAAGGTGCATGATATAAAATGCAGAGAAGAACAAGTCCGTAGTTCCTGCTACAGCGGTCCTGTTGTTAGTACCCTATCTTTTTTCAATGTTATCGGGCGGTTTTAGATCAGTTCTCTTCGTAAAGATAAGTACTTTCAATCCAAGAGTGACACCTTGAATGGTCAAAATGTAACGCCTACCTCAGCGCCAAGAATACCTAAGCCTTTGTACTCTCCACATCCCGCAGCTGTACGTTCTGTGAAGAAGTTGAAGGTTAAAAAATTATCACACATTCATTTTTAACAACACTTATCAGGACTCATCTTTTTCTACTTCATCGTTGATATCGTCACGGAGTAATAAGAGCGTTAATAATACCCCAACCACGAATGAAGTTAATCCAAAAAAGAAAAATGGATTACCTGCTCTTCCTGTACGATCATCACCGAGATTGGTAAACTTTCAATATGTTTCATTAAAGTTTCTGTTTCCTCCAGAAGAAAATGGCTTTGTCTAGTAGCGCTATACCAGTAACTGCATTGATAACACCATCACAACTTCGAGTAAGCTTTGATTAGAATTCTGTGCTTGCAAGCATGTATTTTCATTTGTATGCCTTCTGTTTAAGAGGCAAGAAATTTTTGAGCAATTGACCGAGTTCGCTCTACCTACGAAGGCCAGAAGCATGAGTTGTATCTCTTTGCATGCATGCATTCCCCCTCAAAACAAAAAGCATGAAAACCCAGAACACAGCGCACCAGTTTGTTATTCGCACTTTTAATGTTTTCTCAAGACTATGATATTGTTTAAGAGAGTTTCTTCACGCACAGAACTGTTTCATTCTGAATTACCAAAAAAACGAAAGCTTCCAGAATATGACGGAACTCCCGTTTTACCGGTATTGCTAGGTGTGGAATACTGGTTTTCGAAATTTAATTTGCAGAAGTTGTCTAAAAAATCGTCGACGACAAGTTTGAGGATGTCTGGAAAAAGCATGGTTGATATGAGAAAAGCTGCTCTACCTGTCTATGTTCCACCGGTAAGAGACAAACAACAAACAAGTCATCAGATTCACCTTTCAGACTGAACTAGTGATCAACAATATAACTCCTGTGAAACCCAAACTTCCTAGAAAACCATCTACTTCACGGCTCACAAAAAAAGCGTTGGTCTGCTCTCCTGTACCTAGAACTCTCCGAAATGTAGTGAGTATTGATTTCTTCTGACAATTTTTTAGACTCGTTTCCGTGAAGCTTGAAATATGCTAATTTTCAATGTTACAGGCTTCGTCCCCAAACATTGCAATCTCTAACACTGGTGAAGCATTCAAAATGTTTAAAAAGGTTTTCATTATTTTCAATTATTCGGATTTACATTCTATTTAAGGCTGAGAACACATTTAGAAGTTCACCTGCTTCTCGGCCGGCTGTTCCATCAACAAATGCCCTTTCGAGAGCCGAAATGGAGGTGATCTCCTTTAAACTTGCTGTTGATTAAATTTTATTATTTCAGAAGCCTGCTGAACCTGTTGATGATTTTGCTGTTTTTCACAACGGCCGAGATGATGAATCGGAAGGCTACGAAAGTGCATCCGAAGAGTTGCCGAAAACCGATGTTGATCCTCAGAGTAAGAACATCTTTTATCCAGGCTTATCTTACATATATTTGCTTCTAAGAATTATTAGAAGACGATAAGTATTTGACGACATCTGAACCATTACGAATGGATTCTCTTGAATCTGATTATTACTCTGTGAGCTCACATGGTCCTACACCTGCGAGTTCGATAAGCACAGGGAGAACGTTAGTTAAGATCATTTCTTTATTATTCGAATATATATTTATCAGGAAATTCGATGGAGTCAAATTCAAAGATTTGAATGTATATTATTTTGAGCGTGATCTCGGTTGCACAACAGTTCCAGAGAACGGCGAGTTCAGCTTGGGTTAGTGTATCAGAAGTAAAAGTTGTTTTTCAATGTATACGTTAAGGCATGAAAACCGAACACTTCACCACCAGAAAGTTTTCCTTAATTTCTCCTAGAAAGCCTAATGTGACACTGTTGAGTGTAGAGGTTTCTTGTATGCTTCTTTCCATTTTTCAAACTATAATTGAAGGAAGAGCCGGAAGAAGATGAAGTTCTGCCTGAAGAAGATGATTGCTCGATGTATAGATTGAATAGAATAGAAGCAAAACAGAGAGTTAACATGCTGAAAAGACTTGGTGTGCAATTGGAAAAAGTGAGTAACCTGATTTGCTGCGTTTTTTTATTTAATTACTATCTAGTGTGGTCTCGAAGATATTCGAAAATCTCGGAAAGTTGTTGGTTGTAGCTGTGTAGATGGCATATGCATACCCGAGACATGCGAATGTAGCAAGAATGGCATACATTGTCAAGTAATCATCGAAGAAGTTGCAGCATATAGTTTTCATTCAGGTTGATGGAACCAGTGAAGATGGTCGGACGACTACTCCGTGCACTTGTGATCATGGAGATAAGTGTGATAACCCAAATGGTTTGTTGAGAATTGTCTTTACCGCTTTAAACGAATACGCCTTGTAGGTAGAAGTGAGTTTCGGCGAGATGTTGTGCAACGGCACTACTCCCTAACTTTCCAGCGCATAAAAGATATGGAACGAACGGTTTGTGAGGGAGTTGCTCTCATAACTTGATTGTTTCTTTGCAGGGAAATTTCTCTTCTCCAAAAGTTACAAAATTCAATGAGGAGAAAGAACGGATAGCACCCGCTCTTTACTTCGATTCGATTGTACGAAAAGCAAGCTATTCTAGTCCATCATCACCTGCTATTTCCTTCGATGACGAATCGTCCAAACGGTTTCCAACTATGCCGTCTTTGTTATAACATCAGCGTCCTACCTATATAGTTCTATCTACAAATATTTTTAAAAGATCGTCATCAGTTCACATCATCAATTTTCTGTTGACGATTCATATTTTCCCACTATTTTTGTTAGGAAATTAATATTTTTATATTTCAATTTAAGCAAAAAGGTACTTTGCATCCACATTGATCTCAGAATCTTCTAACACAATGTTAGAAGTTCGCAATGTATTGTAAGATATCTAACTACCCATCTGTTTATAATCTACTCACTAATAACTTGGAATTAAGTATCAGATTCATTTTTTTCGAATCGAATAATATGACAATCATTTGGTTATCCCTTCATCAATGAAGCTTTATGATTTGTTTGTTCTGTTACATAATAGTCTTTTTCTCACAATCATTAACAATATTTGTACATGTCTTCGCACTCTCTCATTCTCTCGTACCTCCGTCTACTCTCTTGTGCCTCTTTTGAACTTATCAGTTCCATTGATTAACGCATGCACTGTGCCCAAATCCACCTTAAGAGGGACAAATCTCTGAGCCGTTTGTAACATTGTTATTTTTCTATTTTTTTGACCCGCATTGGGAGGAGTTTCCATATTCCACTATTCCATATTTGGCTTGACAATTCAATTTCATCTCGCCTCATCTGTCCAGGATGAAATAGAGAATTTGGCTGAATCTGGAACAAGTCCAACTGATTTTATTATCGGCTAAACCATGTTTTTTGAAAATTTTATTGTGTTCTTTGTTGCAGAAAGTTTATCCATGAAAAAAGAAATGAAAATTATAAGAAAAATCTTTTTTTTTGTTTTTCAGTCTTTTGAGATACAACGGGGACTTGTCGTCTACTGCTTAGCACTTGGACAACATGATCATAAACAAGCAAGAGTTAACTTTTTCTGCTCATTTCTACAAAAAAAAGCATTCTCTTCCTCGAATTGACAGAAGTGAGAAGTCGTTTGTTGTCAGAAGGTTGTTTGATTTCGTTGGCGTCGCTTTGTAGGAGAATGGAGCTTCTTCAGAATTTCAAAGACGTCTTGACTTTTTGCCCCCACACTTACTACTATTTTTCTATTAATTTGTGGGTATCGTTGTCCGTTGCTTATATTTTTCGATAAATATTTCTTTCTTTTTTATTTCTCTTCTCCTGAACTGATCGTCATCTTGTCCCTTCCATCTTTCTATTTACTTTCTTATCCGTTTCCGAGGTTCTGCTCAATACCAACCCCCCCCCCTTCGCCCTTCTCAGAAGCCAACATGAAACGACCATTGTTTTATATTAACTATGCCACCCAAAAACATTCTTGTCCTTACTTCTTTTGAATTTTCTATGAGTTTTTAGTCCTTATTGTACTTTGCTGACTTAACGTGCATTTTGATTTCCATTGAGACGCTCCTCTGTGCCATGTTAACTCCTAAACCCTTTGCTTGTACCAAGTCAATGTTTCTTGTTAGAATCTGATTAGTTTCACTTACGGAAAACATTTTTCATGTGCATAACATCAAAATATCCTAATTTCCCGTTTGTTTCAGCTTCTTATCCAAAATACAACTCATTTGGATGGTAACATGTGGTTTTTACGAGTGTCTTTACTTCTATATGTGATTAGCACCCAAGGTTCGCTTTTTGTCTTCTTTTCCAAATTGCGTTTTCGGTTATAACAAAGTATTTTTGTCTTTTCTGCAGTCAGCAGCAGATGTTCATGTCTCGATCGCATTATTCTGCTCATAAACGACGATGATTATAGATTAGTGTCATCACCTGATTATCCGAGGTTCAGTTCTGTTTAGATTAATTATTATTTTTTAAACAAATGTTGAAGGGAAAATTAATTTTCTCTAAGCTTCATGTGCCTGACATAGCGATGCTCTGTTTACACGCAAATATCACAGAACAATAGTTTTAGCGAATGTTTAGGTGGTAAATACAAGACAAAAGATTCCAAACGCTTCAATCACTGAATGAAAAAATGGATTTTCCATCGTTTTTTGCAAAATAAGAGAAAGAATGAAAGTATAATGATGAATACACGTTGTATTCGAAGAGTTTCGCGAACTTTTGGGGTGGGATGGATGGAACAACCGCTTTATACGTCAAATGAGTACTAAATGATGATTTCACATCACGTGCGTTCGAATTCCGTTTATGCTAATTCTATCAGACAGCTATTCGCCATGTTGTTTTTTTTTCATGAAAACATGTTATGTTTGATACTTCAGACTGACACTGTCGCACTTTTAATCGACGAACTGTCATGAATTCTGACGCTGTCAGCTTGGCAATAGAGAGATGGCGAGAATGAATGAGTTATAGAGAGAGGGTGGAGGAATAATTGTCGGACAAAAGAAAAAAAAAGAAATAGAAAAATCAGAAAAAAAAAAAGATTTTTAGATACTATTGTCCATCACTTAGCTGTTCATGGAGGATCATGGGACCATATAATGAATCAAATGTTATTAAATATACCAATTATGAGGCAATAATTAAAAATAATTTAGATTTATTTCTATGCTGAAAACTTGGATTTAAGAGATCAAATAGATTTTCTTGAGTTTTACGATGGATTATTTTTGATGCCGGATGAAGATGCCATGCCGAGCCATCGGTTGCGAGCCTTTTCTATGAAACCACTCATATCCTTACTTTCAGTTGCACCGGAAGAGGAGAATGCAAGTATAACACGGAAACAAATTTATTAACCATCAAGTAATCCTCATATTACTCTGAGCAGATTATCGAAAATTCTTCTTTCAGATTTGTATCTGATACAGGTGATTCCGAAAATTTCGGATTCCAAGGCACAGTCTCAGCCTATAACCGCCAACTTCGACGTATGTTTCAAGCTTTTGCTCATATGCATTTCTTTTCTATGTATTTGAAGGCTGGGAGATATAGAAAAATGTATTACGTTAGTATGATAGATTTTCTTTCAGTATTGAAAAACTCTGTTGGTCGATTCTGTATTCCGATCGCCATCATCTTGATCTTGCTGATAGCTTTTGTTACCTTGTTGGTATGCTGTCGTAAAAGATCTCGAGAACTCCGACACAAAGAAACAGAAGAGCTATTGGATGATCATGTGGAAGCTTGAACGCCTTTCTCTTGTCTTTATTGAATCCGTGTGATTATTATTCCTCCTTAAGTAATTATAATGATTCTCTCTATGTTCTCATTCAGTAATTGTCCCGCCATTCATCTTTTCAGCCAGCCAAGTTTCCAAAAAAATTGAAAAAAAAGATTTTATTTGAATGAGATCATTGATGGACATACAACTCTTGAACGGTGCTCACAGAATAAAGTTTGATTATTAAAATTTACTTGATCCGTTTGTGATCAATTACGAACTAGTCTTGAACAGACTATGAGTCAGAAAGCTGATAAGGAAAGTTCTCTTCTCTGTCATATAGAGAGATTTCTCTCTCTCTCTTTCTATTTGAAGAGAAAAAGATATTTGAAAGCATTTTGTCAGAAAATAGGAGGAAAAACCGAAAATATTGCGGAAATGGGCAATTAGTAAATCGCTGAGTTTTTGAGAGAAATTTGTACAGAAGGTATTCACAGTGGGTAAGTAGCAGTGAAGAAGTTATCGACCAGTGTTTCTATCAGATCTGTTATTGTATATCGTAAGGCTGGGTAAGATTCCATCTAGCTTAAGCATTCGATCGCCGAAAAGCTGAAACATCAGATATTGGGTAATAGATAGGAAAAGATTGATGTGTACCTTCTTCTTCATATGTGGTTTATCAGAAATGCTGAACATTTCTAGTTCACCATCTTTAGCGATTGGGTCCCAATGAGGAACAGACTTTTGATCGGATTCTGGATGATTTGGATTCCTTAAAAATTTGGAGAATCAGTCAGAAGATGTTTTTTTCGAAATGGACATACCCATGTTTGACGAATTCCGCGAACCACGAAGATGTCTGGTTGCTGACAGATTGATCGGTGGAATTCATGGGCAAAGGAGCAGAAAAGTAGTTGCAATCAAAAAGGTAAATTAACTCAGATGAATGAGTTCCAGCTGTAAATAGAAGGCTTATAAAAGATAATTAGGAGAGATAATCATACCCATGAATGGGATTATAGTTGCTAGCCATCCCCACATTCGTCGACTTGTATAATCGAAAGAGTATGAATAGCAGTTTTTATCATTCGATTGGCTGTCCTTCATATACTGGTAACAGGCATAGTTGGAAATGATATCAGACAACAGCTGCAAAATGTTTTTTTTATGAAACGTGAATGCTATTCTTATGAAATCGCTTACGTTGACAAAAATTTCTTTTCGAACTTTTTTCATTCGCCTTGTCAAAATGGAATCACCATAGATCTCACGAACAGTATCTTCCACTTCTTTACGAGGTAGGTTGTGAGCCCTTCGGGACAAAGCTTGTAGAACACGGTCGATATCTTTTCCGTTGCATCTCATTGCTCCCAAAGCAACTGCAAATTTCATGTTAGTTGTAAAAGCTTAATATATCTTCTTACTAAATAGTAATGACTCTTGTTCCCCAACGCCACAGATAGAATCCATTTTGGGTGCATCGAGCCTTAACTTAGCGGGACGTGCTGGAAGAATTTCTCCATCAACAACTGGGGCCAGTGGGAGACGAGCATCTTCGAAAACTTCTCGACTTCCGATCAGATGAGTACCAAATCTAAAAGTTAAAAACAATTATATTGATTTTCCAAATATAAGCCTACTTAGAAGCTGGAAGTTTTCTTAAATAGCTCATCATGTGTTCGTGTTCTTCTAAGGAACTCTTGTATCCTTCTTTTCTAGGCTTCCAGCCTAGCTTTTGAGCTTTTCTCTTGCAGAACTCGGATATCTCTTCCGTCTTCGCAACGGACCAGTGACAGAAAGAACTTCCTCCCATTACTATTTTTCTTTTGAACATATCTAAAGAAAACAAAGTTTTCAGTTTGGCCTTAAGAGCAAACCTCTTGATAGCGGAGACATGGAAAGGAGATCGGTTGAAACTCCTCCAGCGCTTTGGCCGGCAACAGTGATTTGATCAGGATCACCACCAAAGTAATGGATGTTCTCTTTTGCCCATTTCAAAGCCTGAATTTATGAATAATGTGAGATTGTAAATGAGCAAAAAGGTTACATAGTATTGATCCCACAATCCATAGTTGCCCTTAGAGGCATCATCTCCAGTACAGAAGTATCCCAGATACCCTAATCTGTATTGAATGGTCACAACAACGATGCCGCGAGAGACAAGCAATCTGGAACACAGACCCTGATGATAACTCCAAAAAGCGAAATATAAACCTTGAAACGTTTCGAGGAGTATAACGAACGGCTGAATCCATCATGAAACCACCGCCGTGGATATAAAACATCACCGGATATTTCTGTTATGATCACTACGTAGAAGATTGATTGTCATTTCTCTATTACCTTGTTTGTATCGATTGCTGGAGCAAAAACGTTGAGATAAAGGCAATCCTCACTTTGAGGAACCATGCAAGTGAACTTGTCCCAGAACATATCGTTTTGTACGGAACGAGGACCAAATCTTTTGCATTTCTTAACACCGTCCCAAGCCTCAGGTGGTTCTGGTTTCTGGAAGTAAGAAGTTTTTGTCATCCATATTAGTGATCTCTGTCATAAGTTTTTCTTTTTCTATCAATCAATCTATTTTTAAATTTTTTCTTAAAAATTCAAAAATCAAAAGACTAGAAGAGAAGTATTCTTGATGTCCAGCATGTGTCCAGATAGTAGTCATTCAAGGACATGATGTGGAAGCGTAAAGTATCTCTCTAATTCTCTATTTTTTTAATAGCTTTTGCTCTATCATCAAATCGTTCATAGTTCGAATAACCAAATTTCTTTTTTCGTGATGAGATGGTGATGATGATGTCAAGCAGCTTGTGAAATTTCCGTTTTTTTTTCTCTACCGCAACCTATATTTCTTCTTTTTCTTCAACAATGTTTTCAAATTGAAATCTTTTACGTCATACCATATCAATCGTAATCATTGATGAATCAATCTCACTAAGATTACTGATCTTTGTCCTAATAAAAAACATTTCAGAAGAAAACGTCAAACTTAGGGTTTGAGTCTCCAATACACTTTCATTCTATCACATCATACATGAAAACAATTTTGTGTACTTATCACACGTGATTTCCACGTAAAAAAAATCTCACGTGGCTTACGAGTAAATCTCCACGGAAATCAGATTTTCATTTTTTGGACTAATAGTGCAATGAACGGTTGCCTACGCCTTTCTTCTCTCGACAAGCAGGGAAGCCCATGCCCGGTGTTCCTTCCCGAATCATATGCGGAGAATGTGGAACACATATGCAGTCGCTTAATAGATATGTTTTACTTTATACAAATATCAATCACAATCAAATGTTCCTGCATCTTCACGCATGTGATAGAGGTAAATGTGAGTGTAGTTAGGGTAGTATTCGTCCGACAGTGATCAACATCATTGAGAGTTCAACCTTTTCTTCCGTTTGCTAAAGTTTAATTGGAGTTTTATGAGAGAAAACTGAGTGTTGAGGTGAAGAAGGAACATCAGAAGATGGAACACGCCAACCTATTCTAAAAACCCTAATTATGCGTCAGATGAATTTTGCGGAACAGTTAAGTTCAGCAAAAATTCGGAAATAGGAAGGTCAAACTGAAGTTTGAAGTTCGCGTTTTTTGTCCAATTTTGCAGACAAAAAAAACCATGAACAGCTTTAACAATAGATGTCTCATACCATCTGATTGTTCAGAACTAAAATAGATGATAGAAGAAGGAAAATGAATTTGATAAGAGAATTGCTTGGTCAAGAAGCTTGAAGGACCTTGAGAAGTGTGACAACGTCCCCTACAACTCATCACATAGTATATAGCATTCAGGACATTTGTGTAAATTTATGAAGCTTTCGCAATAAGTTGGAAATTGAGAGAAAAGCAAGAGTTTCTCCCGAATACAGCGAACATTCAAGAAGTCTAGAAAACCCGGATGATATATGGATATGCAAGAGGTCAGAGTTGAATTAGAATTTGAAAAAAAAATCCTGGGTAATCAATAAGAAAAAAATATAATAAAATACCTTGAATCTGCGTGGACCAACTGGAGGAGCTGCGTATGGGATTCCCAAAAAGCAATCGGATTGAAAGCCGGATTTGGTTATGAAACGTTTTCCTTCGATGATTCCATAGTTAGTTCGAACCTGCAGAAGTGGGATTAGGTAAAAGTGGCATGTGAGCTTAATACTTGAGTTGGAGGTAGAACTTCATCTTTAGCAGCGAGTGAGCCGCACGTGCCCATGTTGGGTAGATTGAATATAAGTCCTATAAGCAGCGAAATATTAAGAAAATGACAAAGCACGTGAAAAGCGTTAGACAAAAAAAATTAGTAACTTCTTTAAAAATAAAAAAGAGTGAGAGACAGGTAAAAAGTGAATGCTTAAGTGCTGTGTTGTAAGTAAATCATAATGAGACAATGACATTTTGTTAATTTGTTTGACGTGTATTTTGACGCTCACGTAATTACGTGGGAGAAGGTTAGTAATATGTTAATGAAGCGTACGATTCTATGGGAACATACCTCTTCGAGAGCGCAACTTCATGTTTTCGAGTTTTTTGTTTGTCTCTTTAACTGTTTATTCAAATGAGGATGTCAGCTTCTCAAGGGAATTAGACGGTTGGAGAGCTGTCGGAAGAATTGTCTTGAAAACGTCGTGGTTGTCGACGTATGAATGAACTTCAGAAGTAAGGTGGAGAGCAAATGCACAGTTTTGGATTTGCTGCTTTTTTTTGTTTAAGTTTGTCTGCTTGTATACGCTGAAGGTAAAAAGAAGTAAGTAATAGCTTTTGGATAACTAAATGAAGTTGAGGCAAACGAAAAATGAAAGAATTTGTGTGAGAGTGAGTGATGGTCTCACAATTGGCAGTAGATGCCTTTATATGGGGCGGAATGTAAACGGTCGACGTCATGTAAGAAAGAAAAAGAAAAATAGATGAAGTGATGAAGAGTCAGGTAGAGAAAACGAGAAAAAAGGTCAGAGGGTGAAAGAGCGAAAAGCTGTAAAGAAATTGTTGCACGACTGTATGATGAGAGAACAAGAAACATCTATAGAGAGGTAGAATGTAAGAGACTTCCAGGCATTAAAAGAATAATAAGAGAAAGAGAATGATGAAAAAAGAAAATTTTGTAGTGCAGTAGCCACAACTTTAAGAACTTATTGTTGGAAATACAAAAAGGAACAGATGACGACTGATCATCGTCAAATAGAGACTGGACATCAGACTCCCAATGATAAAAGACAAAAAAACTTGTACCCCAGAATAGATTGTAGTCAGTTGTGAGAAGGAAAGACTCTGTTCATTTTTACTTTTAATCCCAATTATCATCATGTTCTCAGCCGATCGTCATTCTCGTTCATCAATTAAAAAGTACGAAGAACGAAGTTTAGCAGAATAAGGAGATAAAAAAACTTATCAACATTCAACTGAACAAAAAAAAGAAGTAAAGAACTTTCTCTCTCTTCATCAATGAGTCTATTTGGTTCAAAGAGTTTCTCTTTATAAGTTGACAGCAACCACATTCGTTACTACTGGTCTCTATTACATGAATTTCAAAACTATCAATGAAACTTCGGAGTTGTCCTGAGAATGAAACAAACTTGTTCCGGAACCAGCTTCTTCTCCTTGTACCTTTTGCCTTATGATGTAGAGAGAGCGAAAGCGAGAGAGAAATTGAAAGCAGCGGCCACGATAGAAAGAGACTGGAGAAAGAGAGTACGGCAAAGCAGTTTTAACAGAAATATTTTTATAAGCAAATGAAAGACAAAAAAAAGAATAAAACATATCATTTTTTTGCTTTCAACTAGTATTTGTATGAAACAACACCTCAACTTGTTATTTTCGAATGAGATTAAATGCTTTTTTTTTATTCTTCGCGAACTTCATTCCAAATCAATGAAAGCAAAATAGAAAACGGGAAAATACGGTTAAAAGGGTTTCTTTCATGAAAGAAAGCTTGCATATCTGTGTTATTGTGAGGGGTGGAGAGCTTTTGCTTGCTGCTCTGCTTCATTCCGGAAGCTCAAGCTGCTCATGTGAGGCAGAGGACTTAGCTAGCTCAAAAAACATTTACATTTCCATTTTGCATTCTATTCTCTCCTTCCAGAAACTTTCTTTTTCGTCACAAATATTTTCATTGGGCAAAAAAATGATGAAAAATAGTTGATTAATAATCATTTAATCAAAAATCTTATGTTCATCAGGGCATGTGATTGACCGTTTCCGAAAAAGGTTAAAGATGCCCAAAAATATTTTTCTTCTTTTTGATGTCACATACACGTAATAAAGATGTGTAGAAGATGGAGAAGAAGAGCGAACAGGTAGGTTTCTTCCAGAAATTCTTTTCTTCTTTACAGGAAGTTTGTGATAAAGACGTTTTTTTCTGGGAGACCGACTGAGAGAGCAACTCTGACAGTAGGTACGATGAAAGACTTTTTCTGATTTTTCATTTGTTATTCGCTTCCATTCTTGCAGATATAGTTTGATTGCGCGTTTTTCTTTGCAATGTTTTTATTCTTAATTATTCCATTTCACTGATTATGGTTAAGAAATTTCTGATCAGCTCTCGCTTGAGATTGTTCTCTTTGATATCCTTGCTGATCCCTCAAGCTGAACATGAATTAGGATGGCAACAAATAATTCAGCTGCAGGTGTTAATTCAAGAATCGTTTAATTGCGGTTTCAGTGATTTAGGGCGTTTTTGATGAGTTCGGGAAATTTTGTGAGAGAACTTTGACCATCTCACAGGTTGTTTGATGAATAATTTCGTTTTACAAGTTCTTTCTGTGCATCGAGTTTTACACCAACTGGTCAAAAGTTCAATCAAAGAGGTTCGTGTACAAGAATATGAGAGAATGAGAGAGACAAAAGAAGTACGAGAGAGTAAGAGAGAGTAGAAAATAGAAGAGAGAGTATCATGAAACTGATGTTCTCCTTAAACTGTTTTCGACTTCTCATGATCGATGAATAAAACGTTCGAAGAATTGCAAGAATCTTGACGTCCAGTTGAGGTGGTCGATGAGACTACAACGAAACATCTGAACAGCTTCACACAGATAATTCAAAGTTCAGGTCAGATGACAATAATTATGATGTTAATGACTTCGTAGAAAGAGGAATATATCATGGCAGAGAAAGAGACGCTAAGAAGTTCGTCAAGGTTACCATATATGGCAATGTCGAATAAAAAAGGTTTGTTAACAATAGAACAATACGAGCATGGTATTGTCATTTGTGAAGCTGAATGTCCATCTTCACGTGATTTCTTGACTCTACACATCATTCACGAAAGAGAGATAGTTTCAAACACTGCCATGAGCGGAAGAGGACTATAAAGAGTGATAGAGAGCATGATTTGATGAGGAGAGAAAGAGAGACTAGAAGATGGAGGACGGTCAGGTAATAAGAAAGAAATGAGAAAAGTTGTTACACTAAGGAAATTTATTGAGAAAACATTGCCGTCTTTGCTTAATTCGCCATAGAATACTATAGTTTCATCAGAAAAAATATTATATTATATACAAATATATGTATAAGATAGTAAATATGCAGAAAAATATAGGAAATGGCGATGGTCGTCTGCAGATCTCTGCGGAAGAAGATGATGATGACGAACGTCCAAAAAAGTATTTTTGCAGTTTAAAAATTTTGTTGAAGAAACGAATGAGAAGAGAACGAAAACGAACTACCGGAGAGATTTGAGAAAACCAGAAAAGATAAAAAAAAACTCGACGAATGATTGTGATCAACGAAACGATGAGTGGTGAGTGGGGTTAGCTTAGATGAAGCTGAGATGCTTCTACTTCTTTGATCTTTTCCTTTTGATGTTGTTGTTGTTGTCTTTCTCTGTTTGTTGGGAGGATGAAATAAAGTAATTCTTCTAATTCAATGATGGTTTTCGATACAATTTGTCAACACATTAACCTAATTTTTGAATGAGAAAGCTGTGAATATCAATTTCTTTGAAGACGTCGTTGTGACTGATCAGATGCGTCAGAAGAATCTCATAGAACTAGTTGACTATGCTGTTTGTCGTACGCTGTACTCATATTTTGTTTGTAAAAACAAAAATTGATAAAAAAAAATAATAAAAAAACTATCGAATTTTTCTCTTTTTTGTTGGGAACTGAATAGTTCTTGCTGTAAATGAAGCGAATGGGGAATGAAGCTAGTAGAAGAAATGATGATGAGGGTTTTTTTGCTTCCGAGAGGTCAACTTGATTTTCGCATTCCTGACAAGTTCCTTCTAAGGATAAGCCCCTTTGACTTGAAACTCAAATTGCTGCTGTTTCTTGCATCTCTCATTCTCTCTCATTTTTCTTTCATTCTTATCCTCTCGCGAAACTGTCATTTAGACAGTAGTATATGGAGTCTCTATACAAACATTACTTCCTGAATCTTATTATTTTTGAAAAAAAGAAATGTTTGTTTGGAGTTTAAGTATTCAGTACATTTCCTTATAGGTTCGTAAGGTAATGACTTGAGTGTAAAACAGAGATTAGAACATTGTGTTGTGGTAGGAGTTTGTTGTTTATGATAAAGTGATATAAATGTTTGCAAAATGTTGCATTCACTTAAAGTACCATAGATGATTGGATAGGTAAGGTACAGATGGAGGACCAGAGATGAAAATTGGCTGCATGAGCAGTGATGGTAGAGTGCAAGAAAACGTTGTTCAAGGTGCAGAAGAACCGAGTCAAATCAAAAAAAGCGCAATACTGTTTGTGAATCAGAAAAATGACATAAAAGAGTACGACAAGAATGTTTACGACAAACTTGGACATGAAATGCAATCAAAATACAAAAAAGGATATTTCTTATCAAATAAGGATAGAAGCAATATATCTGAAGATGCAGCTATTGTGAAGATGTAAAAAGGATTATTTTTGACGTATATCATTCATGCAGAAATTCATATCAACCGACAAAGCTGAGGATGGTAAAGGGGGGGCTGGGAGAGGGGGACAAGGAAGGGTTGCAAGGGATAGGCTGGACAAGCAGGGAAAAAGATTTTATGGAAAAGGAAATTGAGAGGGCAAAAACACCATTTGACGTCATCATTCAAGTCATTTTTCATACAAAAAGTTTATCAAATTTTTGTTTGATAAATCTCTCACAGCCTTATGTTGTTCGCATCAAGTTTAGCGGCAATGGCGTGAAGATTATTTATCGAAATGAGATCATTTCGTATTTGGAGACAAAAAAAATTTGTTAAAATACTAAATAAATCAACGAAATCAGTTTCAACACTTGGAATGGCGATGAAGAAGAGAAAACATTTTTCTTTTGTAAATGAAACTGAAAGCTTTTATAACAATTTGAAATGATTGAAGCACCTGTTAATAGAAAGAGAAATGGAGATAGAGGTTATCTAGATGGGAATCTGATTGGATTGATAGCATGGCTAACAGATCCATATCCAGCAAGCGTATTGTTTCATTAGCTCTACAGAGAATTCTAGAACATACGAGTGAATTCATATTCTGATAATTAAGTTTTGCAGGCAACCTTGGTTAAATCTGCCTGATATGTGCTTTGAACCACG